TTTTCTTCTTTCCTTCTTTCCTTTTTTTTGTCACCTTAGGGAACTGTCATAATTTTTATTGTTCAGTCCAGTGCAAAATATACCAAATTTAGCTGGAAAAAAAAGTCATTTTGTACACATGACCAGATGCAGCATCTACATTGAGTACACTTCTGCAGGCCTTCCCCAACTCACCGCATGTAGCATGGGTCAGGAAAGAAACAGCTAGAAGTCCAAGAAGAAAGGATGCTAGAAAATTTAAGAACCCTGAGTCATTTTACTTCTTAAGAGGATTCTCCTTTCTTATTAAAGGGGAATGATACTGACTGTCTTTCATATGGATTCAAGTTATTGCACTGATAATTATGTGGAATGTTCTTTGATGGCAAAAATCAAAGCACCAGATCCAAAGGAAGCAAATGAAACTTGAGGCATTTAAATATATATACAAACTTACTATTTTAGGCCCTAGATGTGCTATGTGCAAATACTTCCCTCTTGTAGTTATTCATGTATTTAGATGTCTTTTAATAACACGTTGCATAAAAGTATTGGAATTTATTTATTTTAACCCTTTCAAAGTAGGAAATCTAAAAAATTCAGTACAAAAAATATGAACAAATAAGTTTAGGCTTACTTAGCATTCAGCATTTCTATACATTGTTCTTCCTGATGGGACAAATTTCTAATTATATTTGTTTGTAAAAGTGAGTCATATAAAAACTAATTAAAATTCCAATTGTTTCAAGCACTAAATTCGAAATGTGTGACATATGAAAAAGACCAAGACTATATGGCTGCCTAATCAGTGAGAATCAAAGGCTCAAAAGAGGAAAAATGAAGAGGGAGAGACTGAAAACTAGGTTACCATAAGCTTGAAGGCAGAAGTGATAAAAATGGTGAAAAGTGTTTTAAAAACCATTCAGCCAGCAGCACACACTTGAAAATTGTGTTATCACATGCACAGGGTTTAGGAAACGACTTCCACCCACCCTGGTCATAAGACCTGAATTGTGCGCGGCTTGTGTGCTCTTCCTTCGCTGCCCACAGACCATACTGTCTGCAGCCACATTGCTCTGGATGGCTGGCTAACAGCTCTCAGCAGGGGAGCCCCTTGTGCTCTTGCTCTACTCTCTACCACCCCCCCCCCACATTCTTTTATGGTGGAGCTCCCTTAGAGTGACGACCCAGCAACTTTTCTTTCATACGTTACACAGCACAGGAGCTCTTTAGATGGGAATCACGATGGCTGTGAGAAAGAGTGGCTTAGAGGACATGAGTCATAATGGGAGGAGCAAACGTGTGCATTTATTGATCACTTTGCATCCTAGGCCCCTCAGATACATCGCTTCATATCTTACCACCAGGACATGCTCGCTACCATTAGTTCATCCTCGCTCTGCTCATTAAGTTCAGAGAGGCTGCATAATCTGCCCAGGAGTTATCCTATTTTAGTGTGTGTAATATACTATACTATCTATTAAGCTACTGGAACTGGAAAGTAATATTACTAAGTGTAAGGATGCGACTAGAAACAGGTTTGTATATCGCTAAAAGTTGGACTCCTGTCTATTATATGTTATAGGATGCAATATGATATGACTACAAAAAGACATGAAGTAAAGTCTTGCTCTTTTAACCATTTAGTTATGATAGATATTTAGTTTCCTGACATCATTGAAAGATGTATGTTTTGTTTTGAATATGAGGAATTTGAGACTGGATCTTGCGCATTCTCTGCTCTTCACTGTAGAATCTTGGCCAGTTATCCTGAACTGAAGAGGATTCTCTAAGCTGTTCGGGATGTCCCACAGTGTGGAGCCCCTCATGACTCTAAAGTCACACACCAGGCTCAGATCCTGCTAACTGTGTTCTGAATCCTCAGCCAAGCCTTTTCATATCTCAAGCCTTAGAAATTCTGGTCTTTCTAGAATGGTATAGCTCCCACCTGCTTGGAGAGGCCATATTCCAAGCCTGAGAGGTAAGTAAAGTACCCGAGCTGCTCTTTCATAATACCCTGCTGCGTCCATTCTCAGCCCATAAGGGACACGTGTGTTCTATATTTCCATAGTTCATGTCCATTTCAGTCTACCAAAGAAGAGCGCCAAGGCTGAATCAGAGATGGCATAGGCTCATAACACAAACAACCAGGTAGTATTTGCAGCCTGGTTGTTTACAGTACACGTTGCCCATCCCTGGATGAGACTGCTATTCTCAAGTGAATTTTTTCTTTTGGGAAGGGTGCAGTTCAATAAAACTTGTTGACTTAATTAATAAATAACATCCAGCTATAAAATAGGATTACTAAGGACTAAATGGAATAATTTACATGCCATCCTTGGAAACTAATTGGTAATGACTTTCACCAAGCTGTCTGAATGTATCTGTAAGATCAATGGGCAACTCATGAGTTTGTTGTATGTATTAACTTGAGAAACTTGATGAAAGTTAAGAAATTGACTTTATAAAATTGGAAACTGAAAAATGTAAAGTACAAAAAGATTTTGAATTTTTGTCCTTTTTCAATTTCTAGCCTTATTACACTATTTTATGTTTCTAAGTTGGGTTTGGAGTTTTAGTCGTTGTCTACTTGTAAAGGAGACAGGAAAGGCAGAACTCAGTGTAAATGGCCTCTGTCTTAAGACAGCTTCATCTTTCTGAAGCACAGTGTACTAATAAGTTCTGTGGTATTTCAGGGCTCACGTTGGGTTAGCATTTCTTTTCCTGCAGAAGCCCACACTATTCTGTACGTGGTCAAATACACAAACGCAAAGGCAGAAAGAACAGTGCTCACTGCTTTCAAGAAGAAACAGCAGTGAGCCTCCGTGCGAGGTCCTACCAGGCCACCTCAGTGGGGCAGCTTCAGAAAGAGCAAAGCTGCTGACATTTTTCTTTTCAACATGTGAACACACAATTTAAAGGGAGCACAGGTTAGGGGTCCCTCCGCACATTTGCTGGTTTTCATTATCAGAAGTGACCTACATACTTTATGCCCTTTTCCAAGTGGCTCTTTTGACCACTCTCACAGAAAATGAGAGATGAGCAGGACCAACATTACCATGAATGACAGCTCTTTAACGCCGTCAATAGTCATCTTATACAACCACTGAAACATAGCTTAGAACACAGCAATGCCATTTTTATTAATTTACTTCAACAGTGTTGAATTAAAAGGTCCGTTGTACACACAGATTGAGGAAAATAATATTTTGACTCCAAATCTTACAGAAGAAAATGAGGAAAATAATCCGTAATACTTTCTAAAAAAAAATCAAACTAAGCTGAATTTAATACTTTTTCCCTTCCTAAAAATATTATGACTTCTATTATAGGTAAGAGTATCTACAAGTATAGATCAGTGCAACTCTATGGAAATATTTAAACTTGTTCTCTCATGAATAGAATGTGATAATTCTTGTATCTCTATGGATGTTTTTTCCCTTAAGAAGAATAGTAAAAGCCCACACAAGTAAACCCCACAGTTGTTTTTCTTTGTACGTAAAAAGAAGATAGAATGAAGCTCACGAAGCTAGAAAATAGGTCATATCTTAATAAACTACAAATACTAATTCATGGCACTTTTTTTCCTCTAACCAAAACAGATGGTGGTCCAAATGACAAGGCCCCCACCGTCAATGGTATGAGATGTTCAATACTGCAGCTTTAATTTCAGCTTCAAGCTATAAACAAATACAAAATTGGGGTTTAATTCTAACATGGATATTGCTTTTTGTCTTGGCCTACAACAATGGACAAATCTGTATGAAAACATTGATAGATTCCTTCGTGAATTGTATATTTTTCATCATTTAGTTCAATGTTAAGTTCAAAGCGATTCAAGTCCTGTGAACCTTAGAAGACATTCTAGTTTAGGAAAAAGTATAATTTAAAAAAAATAGAAAAATCTTCCTAGTTCTTGGAAGCCCATTGGCTTTTTATAAAGAGGGCATTTATACAGATGACATAATAAAAAAATAATAATTTATATTCATTATAATCTGTAAGTGCGTGCAATATTGTGTTTTAAAATTGAATTTACTCTCATGTACAGGAGGTAATAGGGACTTTACAGAAGGTGAGTGTCATTATTTGGGAGTGTGTTGAACCTATTCCTGACCATAAATGGGCAGCTTGGGAGTGGGGTGTGTGTATTGGGGGACTGATCTCTCCTCTCTTAAGGCCAAGGAACAGGTTCCATTGTGTGAACGCTACTGTGGGTGCCAGGACCACTATAATTCCTAACAAGGACCGTCACCTGATATTCAACAAAGCATTGTGTCCAAACTGGCTGGTTACCCTCCCAAAGCCCAAGCCCGCTTTCCAGCATAAGGGAAAAGTCAGACTGCAGTCACTCATGATGCACGTATAGGAAGTCTTCAGAACAGACTGTGTCTTACAGACATTATCATTGGAGTTGTAGAAAAAAAAACAAGAGTACCATGTTTATAAAATTCGGAATTTAGAGAAAAATGAGTTAACAGGATGTTCTTGTCTATATGCTTTGTGCAGCTAATATCTCGTGTAGGTGGTTTTTTTTTTTTTTTTTTTTTTTTTTTTTTTTTTTTTTTTTTTTGTCAGAAGCATCTGGAAATGTTTGAAGTTGACTTCAGTCTCTCCTTTGTGATGAACAGAAAGCAAGCCACTTTGCAGAGAGGATATTTAGGCAATACTATGAACTGTAAAGCGGATGATCACAAAAGGACTAGTTCCCATGAGTGTAAGAATACCTTTGTTTGATGATGTGTGCAGTGTAGCAATTGTACACTTATTAAGCTGTTCATCATACAAATACAACTTTCATTTACATCTTGAGGCAGTGCAAAGTGAACAATCACAAATCTATACTTCTAATGGTTAATGTGATTTTTCTTTTCTCTGCTGTTGGCAAGAGATGAAAATCTCAACACTTAAACTGGATTCATTGAGCTCACAGAGCTTCTGTTGACGGATGTTGATAAGTTCAAGATCTTTCTAGCACCTTGAACACTAGGAAAGGACACAAAGGGCCGCCTCTCACTCACCTGTCTGTTACGCTCATCCATAATCCTCGTGATCTGAATCTTTTTTCTCCCCATAGTCCCCGTGTTTCTTCTCTCTCTCGTCCCTGAAATTATGTATTTTTTCCTTCCTTTTCTTTCTCTTTCCTGTTTCCTTCAAACACGTTTCCTTCTTCAGCACGTGCACAGCTCAGTTCCCAAATCCTTGCATTCGTTCCTGCTGAACAAAATGAAAGCCAGTAAACAGTAGTTCCACGCAAGCCACTGAACAGTAGTTCCACGCAGCCTACTCAACAGAAGTTCCATGCAAGCCACTAAACAGTAGTTCCACGTAGGCCACTAAACAGTTCCACAGCAAGTCAGTGTCCTAAGAACTAACATGGTCTTCCAACTTCAGCAAGGAAATAAGCTGCACTGAAGCAAAACAATAAAACAAATGAAAAATAACTATTTGTTAAAAGCATATGGCACATCACATACAGGAGCATATACACAGGGGTGGATTGCTTTTATAATTAAAACAAGCTCATAAGTAATTTAAGAAGTCATTTAAATGATGAAAACCGTGTTTTAAAACCCAACACTTGAAATGAACTGTATTTTTTGTAAAGAGCTTCTTAATATTTTTAATGAAATTAGGTGACAATTTTCACCCCTCTGTTATGAAAAATTACCTAAATCAGAGAGTTAATGAACCTTTATATACCTGTGTATGCTAAGTAGGGCATCTAATTCATTTCTGAATGGAAAACAATCTCATGTTTTGACAGCAGAGGTGATAACGTCCCTACTTATGCAAATAGGATGGACAATTATGAAAGTGTTCTTTGATATATGTAAATGTCAACTAATTTAAAACTAAATCCTTTAATCTTATTTTACGAAGATCACTACAGAGAACACAGGAAAAGTAATATGGGATGTTTCATCTTATGTTCAAGCATCGCTTAGCAGTGAGAGCATCTCCTCTGGGAAACCTTTACACTGTCAATTAAAACAATACTCAAAAATGATGGTTACTGATAAGAAATAAGTGGTGCAAAAATTAAGATTATTATCTCATTTGTAACTATATACTTTTTAATAATAGACCATCAGCCTTCTAAATTTAAATGTTTAAAAGAGACATATCATATCTCCTTAGGGAGTCAGACAAAAATTACAGAAGCTTGATATTATATACCAGAGAGCTCTAGGTCATGAATTAAAATTAAAATAATGATTATCAATTACATGGCAAACCCAAAGAGCACAGAATATTAAAAGTCTATATTTTACTCTGTTTAAAATGACGTCTAAAAATATTTGCACATAATGAAAGTGAATTGCTCTGAAATGGAAGTTGACTAGGGAGCATCCCACAATGCTTGCTTCATTTGCAAGTGGCAGCTCCAGTTATTTTGTCTCCTCTCATGTCAGTGGCTACAACTACTTTACACGCTGCTCGGAACTTCTCTGTTGACGCTAGTTAGTCTGTGACAGCGGACCTGAAAAAATTCCCACATGTATTATGTAACGCTAAACCACTGTCCTGGCTACTTAATAGGTTATTTGGCTCGAGTTCAAGGTTCTTGGGACAGAAAAGGCTGTTAGATACTTGGTCTGATCCTCAGCTGCCTTTAAATTTCTTTATTCCTCGTCACCTCAAGTACATTTTTTAGAAATATAAGTTTAGGTAATTATGTCATTGTGGAGGCTATTATGATATAATTAGTTCTGCTGGATTAAGCACTGCTTAATCACTGAGACTACCCACTCTCCTTTGCCCAGTGTCTTTGTACTGAATGGCAGCTCACTTCAGCCTCTTGGCATACACATGTGAGCAACACCACTATCAGCCTGTGCTTATCACAGATGATGACTCCAGCCAGTTTTCAATGTTAGCAGCAGTTCTAAAGTTTTGAACTTCATATAAATGCATATTGACTGTATGAAACACTCACAACCTAGAGACACTGCTATAAGACACCGAGATCACATCCACGAAGAACCTACAGAGCACAATACATCAGACATTCAACAGCGCTGAACAATCTACCCATTTAGTCCTAGAAATGGCCCTAAAGATCACACAGCTGGGAACCTTTTCTGCATTCCCTATTGTCTTACCCAAGAAGAAGGCAGCAGTCCAGAATGGTATTTCCCATGCATGTGCAAGACCCCAAAGAGACAATCAGGCTTTCTCCACCACAGAAAAAAACTATCCATGAACCCCAGTTAAAGCCCTATGGGCACATCCCCCTTCCCTTCTCTTAGCAGAGGCCGCTGTTGCTATCGGCTTACTGGGCTGTGCCTGCCTAAGCGCTTACTCACGTTAGGTGGAAGGTCAGGGCAAACAGATTAGAGTGCAGAGGCGCAGGGGAGAGGAGGTCAGCGGCTACAGACCTTGATTCAAAACACTTATAACCAAGCATGTGGGGAGACACTCCTGACAAAGACTCTCCTTAGAGCCAGGCTGTGTTCCTGACCACTGAATGCAAAAACCACCCCTCCACATCACCACCCAGCATTTTTCAACTTGGAAGACACTGTTTAGAAGGAGCCAAGTGACACGTTGGTTTGTTTGTTTGCTTTTATTCTTAAAACACAATGGGGAATGTTCTTTTAGGAATACATCTATAAATGTACTAACATGCTTACATGTGCATGCTTACACACATATATGAAATGATTGGGGAACATGCCACTGAAAATAGGCTCCTTGTTGAAATATGCCTGGTATTGAGAAAGATGGAAATTTAAAGCTAACTCAACTTTTATTTTGCTTGCTGTAAAGGGCAATATTCAACTTACTAACTGCAGTGTTGCTTTCCGAGCATTCTTAAAATGCAGCACTGTATAAAGTCCACATGCAGAACAGCAAGACATCAATCCTGTGGCAATTTGTGGAAGACGTCTCCACATTTCAAGGCTATCAGTTAGAATCCAAAGAACTAGGAAGGTCAGCACCAGCACACAACTTTTTTAATTTTTACTTTTTAGCATAACTATTTATTAACCTGATTTTTACATAAAAACGTACTGCATGGTTGTTTCTAGTATTAATTTTCAGGAGGGCTAGGGAAAAAAGATGATTATTACCACAGTAACCTGTTTGGTTGTCTCACAGAAATGTGAAAAAAGAATATTAATAATTTAACTACATATAGCAGCATTTCAGTCACAGCAAGAACTTTCACTATATATAATCAATCTCAGGCTTATTCTGGACACTACAGTTTTCACATGAAGGAACCGCTCTTGGAAAATGATAGTTACAGAGAAATAGTCAAAACTTTGAACAAGAAGGAAAGAAAAAGAACACTCTATGGAGTTACAGGTTGCACTTTTTTCCTCTTTTGCCAGCTTAAATAAAAAGGTAAAATCCATCTGCTTACTAAAAAGGGGAACTTCGGTTCGGCAGGCTTCTGCTCACTTGGAGATTGCCATAAGCAGACAGATGAAGGCAGAGTGGTTTGAGACCCTCGCAGAGAGTACTTCTCTTGCAGGCCCCCTCATTTTCAAACAAGCCGGCTTGATTGACATGCACCTCCCCCTTCTTCCTTCTCCCACTCTGTCTTGCCCTCTTCCCTTCCTCCCTCCTTCCCTTCAGCAAATCCCTCCCAGTAACAGAAGAATCTTGACAGAATGGCAGGAAACACGCACAGACTGGGCAGGGAAGGATGTGATGTCAGCGACCGCAAACAATAAAAGGTGCAAAGGTGCTTCCTTCCCTAAACTGCTCCTCAAGTGTAAAATGGGAACCAAAACTCTCCACTTCCTTCTCTGAGCAGAGCAGGCTGGTATGCAGCACACCCCACATTCGGGCTTTGGGGTGGCTCAGATAAAGGGCTCAGGGAAAGGCAGAGCAGAGGTACAAAGTGTCTAATTTCTGTCTTTCTAACACCTGAGAAAAAGGCATTCCAGTTCTAGGTCAATGTTTCGTTGTGACTGACTTAAGAAATCAATATGAGAAAATAAATAGACTAAGTCGACATGGGGAAAGCAGATACACACCCAGTGCCATCGACCACGTCTTACCCAAATCACATTAGCTAGTAAATGTCGCCACACACTTTGAATTTACACTTTGAAGCAAATGAAGATTTCTACACAAGGAAAGAAACAAAACACAAGAATTATGACTTTGGGGGAACTAAATGAATCAGGATGGCAGTAAACAATATTTGTTGGTAATACGCATTGATAATTTATTTAGTCCCACACCTAAAAAGAAAGATCAGGGTGTAAGAAAATAGTTCATGTTACTGAGACTCAGGGTACCTTAAAAAAGATCCAATTAGCAATCAAAGAAACTAACACGAACTTCAGTCTATGGTGACACTATTTTAATCTCACCACTGCTTGGCTCCTTCTAACATAGAAATGGCAGTCTACCCTAAAGTTTCTGTAGGAAGAAAACCACATAGCAACTGGATCTGAGTCATCATCAAATTTCAATTGCCTTCCCACAACACTTTGATTTAGAAATTAAACATAACCTTCAGTTACGTGTTTTGATCGTAGAGTGAGACTCCCATGCCACATTAAAAGATGTGGGAAGAAATTAATTCTCTGCTGCTAAAATTACCTTTGCAAAGCATGTATTTTTGTTCCAATAAGTACAGTGCACTCACTTAACCAAAACAGCCTATGGACAAGGCTAAAACATTAGAATATGCAAGGTCAATCTGCAAGGAAAGAATTCTGGATTTCTTTTATTCAGATTGGCAAGTACCATTTCCACTGACTCACATTTGCCTCACCATCTGAAGACCTTGTTTTGTAAAACTTAAGGCTGTAAATTAGGCATGCTGTGTTATACAAGAAATAGCATTGTTAAGTCAACGAAAGGCCCATGTACAGCAAGAGGCGAGAGTAATGCATGCCCTGTCTCTGCAAGCCTGTGTTTGTTACTGACTCAAGTGATTCAGTAATCCACTACCATTTCAAGTGGGAAGCTTCGCTCATTCCTTGCGTTTAGATACATTAAACTTTCTACTTTATGATTTGTTTGAAAGACATATGAGGCATGCAATTATACTTTGGTTAAAAAGAACTAGCAGAACATACCTATTTTCCCTTAAGAGCTTCAAATGAAATAACCCAATTATTATTCTTAGCAATGCTTGACTATGTGATGAGAAGTATTTCTTTGGTCCTGAAAATTACTCTATTTTTCTCTAAGTTCCCCATATATTTTAAAGAACAGAGTGCAGTTAATTTTAAAGCCACATA